TTCCAATTATTAACTGCTTTCTCATAGACAGAATCAAAATCATGATGTCCTAATTTGTCTTGAAGAATTTGTTGTTGAAGACTTCGATAGATATTTTGACGTAATTCATTAATATTTTGAGGAAAAATATCATTTCTCCAACGTTGTTCAAGATATAATTCTTTACTGATATCTTCAGAAAAAGCACTTGGTAAAAGAATAATATTATCTGATTCAATTTCAAGTTCATCACTAATTGACATTTTAAGAAAACGTGATGAATGTAAAAGATTATCTTTAAATCTATTTAATTGTTCGGTAAAAACATCTTTTTTCTTTCGTTCCGTTTGATCACGTAGAACAAAAACTAATTTTGGTTTAAATGGTGAACTTTTTAATTGAACTTTCGCATATAAACTCATACCAATTAAATTTTCTAAACTAGTGCTTAGTTCACCTTTATGATTAACAAGAACAATATGTGATGATAAAACAGCCATTGTTATCATTTGATTATCAAAATTTGTACCAGATTCTTCTAATGAAAGTAAACCTTCGGTGTCCAAAATAATAATTGTAAATGTTTTATAATAAGCAACACCTAAATACATACCAATTGTACATCGACCAGCACTAACACGAAAATTACATCCAAATGTTGCATTAAGTAATGATGATTTAGCTGATGATTGTTCACCAACAACTGTAAGTACAGCTAAATGATCATTATTTATGATTTGTAGATGTTTAAGACACATTTTAATTAGACCACTTTGACAGAGAAGTGGTCGATTACGTAATAAATGAATAGCAAAACCTTTATAAACAAGTTCAGATAATTTTTGTGCAATAAGTTCAAATTGATCTTTTCGTTCTTCTAATGATGTTGGTTGATCGTTAAAAAAAAACTCATAAAGTGCAAATAATTCATCACATAATAAACCAATAGTAATATCAACATTAGATAATTGTATATCAATATGATTGATATCATCTTTTAATTTTTTACTTTCATTTATTAAAGATGAATGTTTTGTTGATGGTTGATTATCTAATGGATCTCGTATTCGTCGTTTTTCTAATTCTTCCGTATGATATACAAGATGTTGATCAATTTTGTAAGTCGATTGTTTTATTAATTCTTTGTTTTCATAAAGTTTTGGTAGATATTGATTTCGCCATTGTTCAAGATATATATCAACAATTAAAATTTCGACATATGTTCGTTTAGTTAATAATTCTATCATAAATTTAATATGTTCACTTATATAATTATTTGATTTTTGAGTTAATTCTAATTGTTTTAATTTCTCATTAAGTGATGTTGTTGTCTGAAGATCACTTGTTTCAGTTGATAATTGTTTTTTAATCATATCTATTTGTGATTTAAAATAACTAATCGGTGTAATAATCGATAAATTTTCAGTTTTATCATTTAATTTATCAAATAATTTCTTCATTTGATATTCAACTTCAAATTGAATTGTATGTCGATGTAGTGAGTTTTTTCCTTGATTCATTTCTAAAAATGTTGATTGAATAGCAAAAATAGATTGAAATAATGATTGATGATTTATTTTGTTTTCAAATTCTTCGAAAAGATCATTAAAAGATGCTGTAAGGCGTTGAGCACGACGTTTCTGTTTCACATCATTGATATGATCATTACAATTCATGAATGGAACAGTAGTCCAATGTACCAATGATGACCAATATTTATTTGAATATTGATTTCGAGCATGAAGTATAATCGAATTTTGTGAATCTTCACTATCATAATTTCGATCAAAAACACATATAATTACTGGAATTGATCTATTATTTAACATCATATGATCAAGAAAATCATTATCATTTTGAAGATCTTCACAAGTTATATAGAAGATTTGTAAAGAAGAATAAATTTGAATTGATCGAATCAATTTCCAATTATTTTCATCATTAGTATAACCATGAACATCAAAAATAACATAAGATTTTTTAGCTTTAGAACTAAAAATCACGTCAATACAACCGTTACGTAAATGTGCATCAGTTGAATTCGTTGAAAGAGATGATTGTCGTCTTTTATCAGTAAAAATAAATGGTAATAAACTCGTTTTACCTTGTCTGAAACATTGTTTACTACCAATTTGAATAATAAGACGATCAGAAGAGAAACAAAGTAAATCAATTAAACAATTGAAATTAATTTTCTGAAGAATTGTTTGATTTGTTTCATTCCATATGAAATAACTTAATGGAATAGGTAAATCATTTTTACGAATAAATGGACCTAAAAAACGTTGACTTTCAAGTGAAAGACATTCGATTGTTGTTGTAAGAAGTGTACGATTTGTTATCAATCCAAGTAATGTTACAAAAGAATTAAGATTAGATTTATTTCCATTAAACGCATTTTTAACATCGGCACATTGAGGAAATATAGCAAGAATATCATTCAATGCATTATATCGTTTTAAACTATCAATAACATATGCTTTTAATGAATAACATTTTGCAGCAAAATCAACAAGTATAAATTCATTGAGTGGTTCTTCAACAATTGTAATGAAACATTTATCAAGTGATTCATTTTGAGATATATCTTTAGTGCCGGCTAATATTTTATATTGATAAGAAAATTCTCTGATTTCGTCTT